TTGTCAGATTTCAACGGCTCATTACAAGGCCAAGTATTAGCTCCGGTGTGTGGGACCTACGTTGGCCGACTTCATTTCTACCACGTGTACGTAAGACAGGAACAGGTTTGAGCTTTGACTTGTGTCTCTTTGTATACACCGATAGAGAAAGATTCAGAAGTTTTCGACCAAAAAAAAAAGGGAAAAGAAAGAAAGATTCAGAAGTAAAATTCCAGCCAGAAATGCAAATCTTGAAGATATCATCACTAAATCAAGATGAATACAAACTTCTTTTTTTTTTTTAACATCTGTTTGTGCAAACTATTAAAGATCTTGTTATAATGAAAAACTATTGAAATTTTCATTCCATTATCTTTCTTCCTTAAAACTTGTCTCTCATCATTTATCACCAACCTTCCTCAATTTCTTAGTTGTGTGGCTCACAGTAGAAAACTAAAAAACATATCGTACCGTGCACCGTTCCATATCGATACACGATTACACAGGGGTTTAAGGCCTTGAGAAGACTGCTATTGATTCCCACTCTAAGCTACATATCACATCCTGCAGAATCCAATGTATTACCAGTTTGAGAAAACACACTCCATCCAAGTAAATTACTACTAGGTTGAGAGACAGTTATAAGATGTTTTTCACCTGTGGATTTTGTCTGTCGATGTCAAAACTGTTAATGGCACAAGGTTCAACCAGAAGCTCGATCGGTTCTTCCCCTAAACCAAAATCGCAATGACACCATCAGTTTAGTAAATCATACAAGAAAGAAGAACTAATGTGGTAAAAAGCCTAAGTATGTACCTTGCTCGATGACACCAAGGATGCCATCTTCAGAGCAGGCCATAACGGGTAGAATCCTTGAGGATGAGACGTTGGATTTTGTGTATGAGTCATATTGAACCTCCCACACCTCACTTTCAGACAGAGGATTGTTTATACCCTCACTTGCTCCAACACCAGAAAGAACGATGGGCTGCTTTGGCCACCGAAGATCCCAAGCAAACACAGTACCTGAAGAACCTCCCGCCTACACATACCGCATCAAGATAAAGTTATCAAATCATGCTTCTCACTTATAGGGTCACAGTCTTATAGATATGTTATACAACCAACCTTATTGGGTCATTTTAGACATGATAAACCAATCAGCTACACTGAGTATATTTTTTGTTTCGCATATGAGAGCAATACAAGAAAATGTTTTTAAAATAGTGAAGGTATGAAGAGGATATTCACCTGTCACAAAGTGGCTTAATATTCAAAGTTTCTATTTCAACACAGAAACCAAATGACTCACTTTTATCTCACAAGAAAGAAATGAATTCCGGACATAAGTAAAAAGAATATCATGAAGGAATTAGAGCAAAGGCTAAATATTCAAAATCTGGCAAAGATGGAGGATTACACTGACTGTTTCTTAGATTCATCAACTTATGGTGAAGAGGTTTTCAAACTTCAAACAGATAAGAGCTTAGATCAGAATTCTAACACACGCCTAATACAGAACAAAGACTTACAATGCAAGTGTGCTTCCGGGATGGATGAATGTCAATGGAGTGGACAATTGCAGAATTTCCTTGAAACCTTCAACGTTATCATCAAATGAAACACAGGACATGAAAGATTTTTGAATAAACGATTAAATTAAAGGATTCACCATTCAGATTCTCAGTTTTAATTGCTAAAGAAGCTCACAAAACCAAATGATAAGAGTGCACTCTAATCCAAATGAACAAAAAAACCTTAAATTTCCATATCAAGAGCCTAATACCGGACCGACATATATCAGTTATACAATCACTATTCAAACCCTTAAAGCACAATGAGAACTCACCAGTTCCCTTTGAGCTGCGAGATAGCTTCACCAGACTTCCTCTGATCCCACAATTGCAGACCAAAACCATATCCTCCAGTGACAAACTCAGTCGGAGAAGCCCATTTCACAGCTCTATAACCCACCAAACCATTCCCATCAAAAACCCTTCTGTATCTCAAACCTTCACCATTCACAATCGTCACTACATTCACTCTCCCATCTTCACCAACACTCACACATTCTCCTACCTCTCTCCAATCCACACCTTCCACACGACCCACATGGAAACTCTCTCCCTCCGCCACATAAACCTCCTGAATCTCCGCTCCTTCCACCAAATCAGCCATCAGAACGTGGAGCGAACCGGAAGACGTCGCTGCCGAAACAAAAGGTTTGAACAAACCGCCTCCACCGCCGTTTCCGGCGACTTCTAGCGACGAAACCCGAGACGGTAAAATCCATGAAGATAACGATTCGACTGATGGGTTGTTGTTAGGATTCCCTCTAGAGTTTGGGTCGAGCAAGTGGATCTCGATTGATGAAGACTCACAATCCGGGTCATAGAATGCTGTTGCGAAGAAACGATTCAAAGCGGAAGCTTGTGGAAGCCATCTAACTCCGTCTACGTACTTCGATTGTGGTATTCTATGGATTTGGAACGAATCCTGCATCTCCATTGCTTCAGAGGTTGCTAGGGTTTTACGAGCAAAGAAGAAAGAAGAACAATGGTGGGAAAAAATGAAAGTTAAATTACTTAAATACCCTTGATACTTGACTGTTATCACGAAAACGACATTGTGCTTTTATCACCATGTATCTGAGAATCTCTCTATCTTTGGTTTCTGGGAAAGTGAAAATGATGACCGTACAACACAATAGCTGCTTCTTCATCACTCCGAACGACAAACTCCGAGGTTTTTGTAATGGATTCAGTAAAAATGGCGGCGCGTTAGTTACGGTAATGTCGAAAGGTAGAGACTTTCCAGAGAAATCAAACGAGAAACGACCCGTTTTGCGAATCAATGTCCCGAACATAATCCTTGCTCGATCTGCGATTGCTGTTCTGGGTTTGGGATTCATCGATGCTGGGTAAGATTTTTTAACCTCAAAGCTCAAAAATTGTGAATGTAGGGGTAGTATGTATAATGCTTAATCATAGTGTTCTTAATATTACTTCAGGTATAGTGGTGATTGGTCAAGAATAGGTGTGATCTCCACAGAAACAGAGGAACTGTTAAAGATTGCTGCTTTTCTTGTTGTTCCTCTCTGTATCTTTCTTGCACTTTCATTTTCCAACGAATCAACTGATTAAAAGCTAGAGTTTGATCATGGAATCTAGTAGCTTGAACAAGAACTAAACCTCATATACTTGTAAGAGAAAGTGATTGTTTGATTACTTTTGAATAATTTGAGTAGTAGTACATTGATACATTGAATGAAATATAACTAAAAAAAGTATACAATGTGTGTTAAAAGGCACAAGAAGGTGAAGCCCGTCGAAAATCCATGATTAGAAGAGAGGCAACACTATGAGCAAGAGCTCCTAACACTACAAACACATGGAATATCTGATGGCTATGTCCCGCAAGATCGAAAGCGCCGGGCTTCCATCTCTCAGGTATACGGCTAACATAAAACCCTGCTCCTGTTGCATACAACACAGCCATCGCAAGCTCATAAACGAGGGCGATAAGGACGTTTGGGTGATCCTTATGAAGGAAAAGCACATGTGAGGCAGGTATGACGCCGGAGAATCCCATTGTTAGGAAAAGAGCTGCCCTGAAAGATCTGAAACGTGGAGCTGAGAGCGAAGGAGAGAGGAGGGTGATGATGGCTAGGAGACCGAGGATTGAGATCGAGGAGAGGTAGAAGAGACGCCAGTAAGTGTGACAAGAGAATGCATAGTAGATAGGCGCGAAGAACGAGCAGACGATCATGAGGGAGATTCCGGCGTAGTCTAAGCGCCAAAAGAAGAGGTTAAACCGTCTAGAGTGGCAGGCAAAGAGATGTGACATGGAACTGCAGATCAAACAACACATTGCTCCGGATAAGAACACAAGCCATGGCCATTTCGGAATGGTTTCGTAGTGAACTTCTCCTTGAGAATTCAAGAACGAACTAGTGTGTGTCACGTTCGAATCCTGCTAAGAGACACCACCGAATCATAAGTTGAATCAAAAGACCAACCTTTTTAAAAAAAGAAAAAAACGTTGGAAAAAACATGTGAATTTGAAAAGTTTGGTGAGCAAAAGCGCACAGAGAAAATCTACAAAAACTAAAGTGAGAGAAAATCCAAGAAACATAAAATAGTGCGAGGCAGGTTTACAAGAACATTACATGATTTGTTCCTTAATTTCCGTAGACAAAACATGTGATTTCTCAAAGTAGGTGAACATAAATAAAGCAGGAAACCAAAGTAAAACAAAAAAAGATAGAAAATCCAAAGAAGATCAGAAACATCACATGGTGGGTGAAGTTACCACTTAGCAACTACTGCAAATTGCACATATTATATGAGCACAAAAAGATGACATTTTGTTATGGAAAATGACTTACATTTCTACTTTTTTATTAGAACAAAAAGAAAGAAAGACATGAGAGAATCTTACGTGATACAGAATTTGATCGCTGGAGAAGTAATAAACATCTTTTGCCATTGACGGCCATGGCCAGCGAATTGTAGCTCTGTCATTAGGACCCACACAGCCCAAAAAAGTTGAATTCTTTAATATTCTTTTTTTCAAAAACCAATCTAGTAAAAAAGACGATTTTGACCCTCCGAAATTCTTACCCGGAGAAGACACTGACGAAACCGGCGAGACCAATCTCCGTCGTCTCCAGAGAACTCACCACCATCATCCAAGCAAATATCACAAACCCACATAAATGCCTGCAGATTCCAATCAAATTTCAAAACTCCAAATTCAAAATCGCTACTACTAGAAGGAAAAAAAAAAAAAATCAGATTTAAAAAACATACGTCCAAATGTTGAGAGTCTCATTATGCCAAGAGAAAGCACTGAAGAAAGTTTCTTTAAGAGACCATTCACATCGATAATGATTGTGTATAAACTCATTGTCTTTGAGATACCTAGGTAACTCCTCAAACTTCATCAATCTCTTCTTCTTTTCGCCGGAATCAAGAAAACCCTTCCCATTTCTCGCCGTTGATTCCTTCACCGTTCTCCGTTTCTGCATGATTTCCCCCTCCTCCCCTGTTTAAAGCTCGCCGGAAAAAAATAAAGGAAAGGAGAAATCGAGCTCCGGCGAGTCAAAACCACCGATCGAATATTCGGAATCTGATTTTGTTTTTGTTATTGATTTTTCCGGTGTTCGTGGACGCTTTCGTCTCCTACTTATAAGGAGAAGAGACCTCTCTGAATTTTTAAAAAGGAGCAAGCTTTCTTGAAAGATTACCTTACGTGGCGAGTTTGACCGGTCTTTTTGACACGTGTTGTTGTTTCATTGGGTGATTTAGTTTTGCTTAGTGTGGGGGAGTATGCAGGTGATTATTTTTACCCGCCGTGTCAGTTTTAAAGAAATCATAAAGTTACAGTTGGAAGGTGAGAAATGCAGAAATTGTGGTTTTTTAAAAAAAAAGGTTTAGTTTTTTTTTTAATTCAAAGTTACACAAAGAGTGACGTCATCGCTAACTCGAAAAACATTTGTTATTATATAATTATTACCCTCAGGTTTATAACCTAACCAATGTACATTTCTCGAGAAACAACATGTGATTAACCTTTTAAATATTTTTGTCGTATTTGATTTTAATCATATCCTACTAAAGACGAATTGTCGTTTTTGAAGTTGATCGACTTTTGAGTTCACATTCGGACCAATACTGAAAATATAAATACTTTGGTATTCTATAAAGTTTTAATCGTACTATTTTACTTTAAATCAGCACGGTTATGACGACAGTCGGTTAAAATAAGCCATGTTATCGTATCGGTAGAAA